ACCCAGGGGGACAGCTTGAGGCTCTGTCTCAAAAAAAAAAAAAAAAACAACTCTTGGCTTGATGTCCGTAGCTTAATGAGTAGGGCACTGGCCACATATACCAAGGCTAGTGGGTTCAAGCCTGGCCTGAACCTGCTAAACAACAATGATAACTGCAACCAAAAATTGCTAGGGGTTGTGGTGGGCTCCTGTAGTCCTAGCCACTTGGGAGGTTGAGACAAAATAATTGCTTAAGCCCAAGAGTTTGAGGTTGCTGTGAGCTGTGATGGTCTCTGCACTCTACCAAGGGTGACATAGTGAGACTTCGTCTCAACAAAAAACTCTTTCTGATGAGATCATCTTTAGGAGAAAAAAGGTCTAGGTTTTTTCTTTCCTCTATTATTAAAAGTGATCTTTTTTTTTTTTTTTTTTTCTTTTTTGCAGTTTTTGGCCAGGGCTGGACTTGAACCCACCACCTCTGGCATATGGGGCTGGTGCCTTACTCCTTTCAGCCACAGGCGCTGCCCTAAAAGTGATCTATTTTTATTAGAGAAATTTGAAAATACAGAACAATAAGTAGTCACTTATAATTCTACTACTCAAATCTGGCTGCTATTAAGTTTTCACAACTTTTTCTTGAGCTAGACATGGTGATGCATGCCGTTAGTCCCAACTTCCTGGGAGGATATGGTAGGAAGATAGTTTGAACTCAGTTCTGGGCTATAGTATGCCATGCTCATGCCTGTGAATTGTCCTTGACTCCAACCCAGCAATAGTGTGAGACCTTGTCTCTAAAACTACAGGGAAGGCTTGGTGCCCGTGGCTCAAGCAGCTAAGGCGCCAGCTACATAAACCTGAGTTGGCTGGTTTGAATCCAGTCAGGGCCCACCAAACAACAATGACGGCTGTAACCAAAAAATAGCCGGGCGTTATGGCAGGCACCTGTAGTACCAGATACTTGGGAGGCAGAGGCAGGAGAATAGCTTGAGCACAGGAGTTGGAGGTTGCTGTGAGCTGTGATGCCACAGCACTCTACCCAGGGCAACAGCTTGAGGTTCTGTCTCAAATAAATAAATAAAAATAAAACTACAGGGAAGTACACACATCAGGAGTATATTGCATGATGAATTTTTATAAGCTAAATGCACCTGGTAAGCATCACTCAGCTACTTGGAAGCTGCCCTCTGGGCTGTTCCATTGTCTCCCTGTCACAGGCAGTACCCAGTGTCCTGGTTCATTTCCTGTCACTTGTTCTCCTATGTGAGGTTTCTTGTTGTTTTCTAAATAAACGGTCATTCATTGGTTAATGATGGGGATATGTTGTGCGAATGTGTCATCATACGATTTCATCTTCGTGCAACTATCAAGTATACTTCTGTACACCTGGGTGGTACATCCTCCTGCATACCTACACTATGTGGTATAGCGTGCCACGCCTGGGCTACAAACCTATGTACGGCATGTGACTGCTCTAAATTCTGTAGGCATTTGTAACACCTGGTAAGTATGTGTGTATCTGAAAATATGTAAGCATGGAAAAGGTCCTGCTTCAGCAGCACATAAACTAAAATTGGAACAAGCCAAGATTAGCATGGTTCCCAAACAAGGATGACACACAAATTCATGATATGTTTGATTAAAAAAAAATGAAAAGACATGGAAAGGTATAATAAAAATATAGTAGTATAATTGTATGAGACCACTGTTGTGTGTGGTCTGCTGTGCTATGTGGGGTGTGACTGTAGTTATAACTGTACTATCTGTTTATTTTCCTATTTTCTTCCTTTTAAATATTAAAAAAACTTTAGAAAAATAAATATATAATCATCATTAAAAAATTAGAATATCAAAAAAAAATAAAAAATTAGAAAATTTAAATCAACACAAGGAAGAAAGTAAAAAAAACAAAAAAAACAAAACACCTCTAATCCTGCCCTTTGAAAAGACTCAGGTAACTTCTAGGTGGGACACCTTCCTGATCTGTTCTTTTTTTTTTTGAGAATGGAGTTTAGTCCTTTATTTATTTATTTATTTATTTATTTATTTATTTTGAGACAGAGCCTAAAGCTGTCCCCCTGGGTAGAGTGCCATGACATTACAGCTCACAGCAACCTCCAACTCCTGGGCTCAAGCGAGTCTCCTGCCTCCACCTCCCAAGTAGCTGGGACCACAGGCGCCTGCCACAACACCCGGCTATTTTTTGGTTGCAGCCGTCTTTGTTGTTTTGGCGGGTCCGGGCTGGGGATTCGAACCCACCACCTTAGGTGTAGGTGGCTGGCGCCTTAGCCGGTTGAGCTATAGGCGCCGAGCCGATTTATTTATTTATTGCAGTTTTTGACTGTGTTGGGGTTTGAACCTGCCACCTCCAGTTATATGGGGTCAGCACCCTACTTCTTTGAGCCAGAGGAGCCACCCCCGATCTGTTCTTATGAATAGACTAATTCTTTTCATTTTAGCAAGAATGGGATCTATTTTGTTTATCATTTCATAACACTTTTATTTATTTTTTAGAGAGAGTCTCACTTTATTGCCCTTGGTAGAGTGCTGTGGCGTCACAGCTCACAGCAACCTCCAACTCCTGGGCTTAGGTGATTCTCCTGCCTCAGCCTCCTGAGTAGCTGGGACTACAGGCGCCCACCACAATGCCCAGCTATTTTTTTGTTGCAGTTTGGCCGGGGACAGGTTTGAATGCACCACCCTCAGTATATGGGGCTGGCACCCTACTCACTGAGCCACAAGCACTACCTGCATAACACTTTTTTCTTCTTCTTTTTGGTTGGGGCTGGGTTTGAACCCGCCATCTCTGGCATATGGGGCCAGTGTCCTATTCCTTGGAGCCACAGGCACTGCCCTGCATATTATTTTCTTAAGCCAGTATTCCATTGTATATACATTTGTGCCATTATGGATTCACCCAATACTATCTTGTCATACATTTAGCTATATCCTTGCCTTGAATTTAAGTATTGATTCATGTTCTTAGATTTTCTTTTTTTTGCAGTTTGGCTGGGGCTGGGTTCCAACCCATGACCCTCGGTATATGGGGCCGGTGCCCTACTCATTGAGCCTTAGGCACTGCCCTCTTAGATTTTCTTAGTAAATCTCCAGAAGTAGAAATGTTCAGACAAAGAACATGCCTTTTCTTTCCTGTTTGTTTCTTTTTCTTTTTGATATTCAGAAACAGAAGAAACATGCCTTTTTTAAATTGAAACCTCTGAGTCCTGCTTGTTCATTTTATCATTCATATCCTTAGTGAGCACTTCTTTTCATTCCTGGTGGCCATCATCTTCCCCTGGAAATGGGCGTAGAAGGTTAGCTACTTCAGTTTAGGAAAAATAAGAAGCTTATAAGTGATGGGAAATAATCAGAATTAATATATCTGAATAAACATATAGAATATCACAAACCCATGGTAACATTTTTTTAGAATCTTAAAAGCAAAGTGTTACACAGTTTTTCATAAACTTTTCCAAGGCATACATGCCTTATTTTAAAAATATTTTTTTGTCTGGGCACGGTGTCTCATGCCTATAATCCTAGCACTCTGGGAGGCTGAGGTGGGTGGATTGCCCGAGCTCACAGGTTCAAGACTAGCCTGAGCCAGAGTGAGACTTCATCTCTAAAAATAGTCAGGCATTGTGGCGGGCACCTATAGTCCCAGCTACTTGGGAGGCTAAGGCAAGACAATCACTTAAGCCCAAGAGTTTGAGGTGGCTGTGAGCTGTGACGCCATAGTACTCTACAGAGGGCAGGGCGACAAAGTGAGACTCTGTCTCAAAAAAAAAAATATATATATATACATATATATATTTTTACACTGATATGTTTTTAAAGTATATTCTAGGCTTCATACCATATGTATTTCTAATATTTCCATGTACTGTGTTTCCCTGGAAATAAGACCTACCCAAAAAATAAGCCCTAGCAGGATTTCTGTGCATTTGTTACATATAAGCCCTACCCTGATAATAAGACCTAGTGATGGGCATGGCTATGCAGTATATCTGCCATGCCAGGCATTTTGCGCAGAAGACATCCCCTGAAAATAAGCACTAGTATGTCGTGCAGAAGACATCCCTTAAAAATAAGTACTAGTATGTCTCCTTGAGAAAAAATAAATATAAAACAGTGTCTTATTTTGGGGGAAACACGGTAATCAAAATAATAGTGATTAATCCAAAGAACTTTCTTAATATCATATGTCTGGTCAATTTTCAAATTTACCCACTTGTCCCTATCATACCCTTTACAACAGATTCATCTGCCCTTGTAACTAATCCACTAATACATTCAAATTCATTTAAAAGTCTCTTGACATGTTTCATTTCTCTTTTTTTAAAATTTCAGATTAATAGGAGAGTACCTACAATTAGGTTACAGTGTTTGTGTTTGTTAGGTAAGGTCTCTGTTGCAATTGTGTCCCACACCTAGGAGGTGTACCATGTGCCCGTACATTGTGCCCATTGACATGTTTTTTTTTCTGTGCTAGGTATGTAAAAACATCTACTGCCTAAACTTTTGCCAATTTGTTCTATTTATTTTAAACTTTAACATTTTAACCCTAGTTCTTTATTTTGATGTTAGGAATTCTTCAGAAATACCATTTAAACATCAGTATGTAATGTTTCCTCAGGAGCGTTCTTCTGGGGACGTTTGTGGTTAGCTGTTTTAGCTTTTCCTGCCTAATCAGTAAATAAGCCTCCAGTGGACAAGCAGCTGTGTGGACCTCACTGTTGGGGTTTTGCCTTCTAAGTGCATGTGTTTCCCCTTCCTCTCTATCAGAATCCACCTCATTGCCTGGAGATCACACCACCATCTTCAGAAAAGCTGGTCTCAGTGATGCGGTTAAGTGACCTCTCTACAGAAGATGACGACTCAGGTCACTGTAAAATGAACCGTTATGATAAGAAGATTGACAGTCTAATGAACGCGGTTGGTTGTCTCAAGTCTGAGGTGAGGGAAGTGGAGCACTGGGACAGCTAGTAACTGAGGACGTGTGGGACTGCCCAGGTGGATTCTGTCTGGTCTCTCTGCAGGCCTCCTGTCCTCCTCAGCAAGGTTGCCCAGGACTTCAGGTGCCCCCTGCCAGGGGAGGTCGCTGGGGCATCATAGGGTATCACCGCAGTGACAAGGATCCTCACTGTGAAGTGCTCGGCTGCTCTGGTCCTCTGCCAGATGCCCCGATTTGACTTTTACAACAGATGAAGCTTCTGTTATCATTGTCTCATTATAGGGATGAAGTAACTGGGAAACTGGGGCCTGTGCTTTCCATGTTATAGAAAAGTTTGACAGAGGCTAAGTACGGTGGCTCACAACTGTAATCCTAGCACTTTGGGAAGCCGAGGCAGGAGGATCCCTGGAGCTCAGGAATTTGAGAGCAACCTGATGAAGAGTGAGAACAAATCTCTATTAAAAATAGAAACATTAGCTGGGGGTCATGGCAGGCTTGGTGTTTGAGTTTCCTGTGAGCTAGGTTGATGCCATGCCACTCTAGCCTGGGCAATAGAGCAAGGCTGTCTCAAAAAAAAAAAAAAAAATTGATAGAAATAAAACCCCAAAGAGGCAGAGTAAGTTTGCCCCAGGCCCAGGTGCCGTGGCTCACATCTATAATCCTAGCATTCTGGGAGGCTGAAGCAGGAGGATCCCTTGAGTTTTGAAATTCTAGACCAGGGCTGGGTAGGGTGGCTCATGCCTAAATTCTAGCACTCTGGGAGGGTGTGGTGGGTGGATTGCCTGAGCTAAGCAGTTGGGAGACCAGCCTGAGCGAGATTGAGACCCTGCCTCTAAAAAAATAGCTGGTGCTTGTAGTCCCAGCTACTTGGGAGGCTGAAGCAAAAATATCACTTGAGCCCAAGAGTTTGAGGTTGCTCTGAGCTATAATGCCACAGCACTCTACCCAGAGTGAGCTGTCTCAAAAAAAAAAAAAAAAAAAAAAAAATAGAAAGAGGAAGAAGAAAAAGAAAGAAAAAAGAAATTCTATACCAGCTTCTACTAAAAATAGAAAATAAGGCAGCACTTATAGCTCAGTGGGTAGGGTACCAGCCACATATACTGAGGCTGGTGGGTTTGATCCCGGCCCCTGGCCAGCTAAACAACAATGACAACTGCAACAAAAAAATAGCCAGGTGTTGTGGTGGATGCCTGTAATTCCAGCTACTTGGGAGGCTGAGGGAAGAGAATTATTTAAGCCCAAGAATTTGAGGTTGCCGTGAGCTGTGACGCCATAACACTCTACTGAGTGCAACATAGTGAGATTCTGTCTCAAAAAAAAAGAAAGTTAGCCAGGTGTGGTAGCCACATCTGTAATCCCTATTACTGTGTAGGCTGAGGCGAGAGGATGACTTGAGCCAAAGTTTAAGGTTGCAGTGAGTTATGATGATGCCGCTGTACTCTTGCTAGGATGACAGAATGAGACTCTGTCTTTAACAAAAAAAAAAACATAGGCTGGGCTTGGTGTATCATGCCTATTATCCCATCTCTCTGGGAGGCTGAGGCAGGTGGATTGCCTGAGCTCACAGATTTGAGACCAGCCTGAGCCAGAGCAAGATTTTTGTCTCTAACAATAGCTGGGCATTGTGGTGGGTACCTGTAGTTCCAGCTACGTGGGAGGCTGAGGCAAGAGAATTGCTTGAGACCAAGAGTTTGAGGTTACTGTGAACTATGATGCCATGGCACTCTACCAAAGGTGACAAAGTGAAACTCTGTCTCAAATTAAAAAAAAAAAAAGTAAGTTTGTCCTTAGGTGCTGAGCTGTATCTTCCAGTAGGATATGGCAATGGAATTGGAAACAATATGGAAGTTCAAGGCCCCCAACTAGGAAGTTGGCAGACCTGGCATTAAAATCCAAGTCTTGATTGCTAACATGATGTGTGTCTGGAATCCTCCACCTGTACTCAGGGCCAGAGACCCTCCTGGAAAACCTAAGGCTGGCTGCCTGGCAACAGGCCCTCTTTCCTTACAGCCCCCAGTAGGGAGAGATGTCTTTTCCTATGGTGTGCCAGCCAAGTCACAGTGTACCACCTGGCTCCAACCCCAACCAGCAAGGCTGTCCATACTTAGTTTCCTCATCCACAAAATGAGGAGAGAAATGTCTCCCTGGAGAGTCAGTTTGGTGATAATTAATTGAGATTAAGCCCAAGGACCCAGAACTGGGCCTATGTAACTCTCAGTTGGAAGGGACCTTATGTTTGTCCAAAGCATTGGGCCCCAGGGTGGCATAGAAGAAGAGCTTCTCCTTAGGTCCCTGTGCCTTTGCACAGGTAAAGATGCAGAAAGGTGAGCGCCAGATGGCCAAAAGATTCCTGGAGGAGCGGAAGGAGGAGCTGGAAGAGGTGGCCCAGGAACTGGCTGAGACGGAGCACGAGAACACAGTGCTCAGGCACAACATTGAGCGCATGAAGGAGGAGAAGGACTATACCATGTAAGGTGGCGCCAGCCCTGTGCCTACAGAGTGCCTTCCTGCCAGGCTACCCCAAGGTAGCAGCAGGCACTGTCCCTCTGTCCTACATGCAGCCTGTTCGGCATTCACACAGTTGATTACTGACTGTTCTCAGGATTCCTACTGTGAGGGAAAAGGAGTAGCCCACAGAGTGCAATGAGGGTGGGGAGATCATAGTCAGAGAACTCCTGGAAAAAGTGACATTTAAGGGGTATCCTGGACTCAGTCCCTGTAGCTCAAGTGGCTAGGGCACCAACCACATACACCAAAGCTGGCAGGTTCGAATCCAGCCTGGGCCTGCCGAACAACATTGACAACTACAGCCAAAAAATAGCTGAGCGTTGTGGCGGACGCCTGTAGTCCCACCTACTTGGGAGGCCGAGGCAAGAGAATCACTCAAGTCCAAGAGTTGGAGGTTGCTGTGAGCTGTGATGCCACGGCACTCTACCTAGCGCAACACAGTGAAACTGTCTCAAAAAACTAAAGGAGTGTCCTGCAGGATAGTTAAGAGTTAGGCAGGTGGGTATCAGGGAAGAAAGGTGCTATATAATGGGAACATCTCGTGGGAAGGCCCCAGTATGGGACAGCATGTGGATCTGAGAAATGGAAAGCCAGCCAGAGCAGGGGGGCAGAAGGTGAGCCTGCCAGGGGATGGGGGTAGGGGGCCGCTCTCAGTAGCCATTTTGAGGATTAGCACTGGGTAGAGGGGTTGGAAGCTAAGGTCTTAAAAGCAGGGGAGTAATGTGACTAGACTCGGCTCCAGTGTGGAAAGCAGATGGAAGGGCTCAAAAGTGTATCTTAGAAGGTTGGTTAGGAGGCCATGGCAGGGGCAGGGGCAGAGGTGACAATGGTGGTTCTTAGACAAGCAGGGCCACAGGTGGCATAATATCACCTGTTATAGAGGCCCTGGTCTGGTATCCAGATAGATGTGACTTCTGGCCCTGGTCCTTCCAGAAGGCCACTTGGGCCAGAACTTCCATCCTTGTCCCCTCCCCCACTGCTCCCTGACAGGAGGTGAACCTCACAGGGCATTGTGAGGTGAGCCTCGGAGCTCTGGGCATGCCAGGGGCCCGTGAGGGCTCACAGAGCCCCACCTTTCTGGCCCCAGACTCCAGAAGAAACACCTACAGCAGGAGAAGGAGTGCCTCATGTCCAAGCTGGTAGAGGCTGAAATGGATGGAGCAGCTGCTGCCAAACAAGTCATGGCCTTGAAGGATACCATCGGGAAGCTAAAAACAGTAGGTGGCAGGCAGAACCACCCACCCAGCCCTGGGACGGACCCAGGGAGCCAGCAGCTGCAGTCTGGGGTGGGGTCTTGACGCAGTCATCAGGCTGACTTTATGACATCTCCAGGCTGGGGGAGGGCACGCTTAACTCCTAGGTCCCCCACCCTATCACCTCACTTCCCGGTCTTTGACCCTTGAAGCTGACCTCTGGTGGCCAGGGCCTCTGAGGAGACCTCATCATGGGTCGCCTTGGATCACAGTGAGTCAAGGCATGTGGTTGATTCCTGCAAGTGTCCTCATCCTCCCTTGCCTTCCTCCAGGAAGCCTAATTGCACACATCCCCGTGAGTTCTCCCAACCTCTCTCCACTTGGTCTCCCAGATCCACCTCCAGGAAGCTTGCCCCTGACCTCCTTGGTACACAGCCTGGCTCATCTTGCCTGGGTTTCCTGACACCAGCACCTCTTGAGTCCCACACGGGGACTGCCTGTCCCTCCTCCCCCTGCATTTTGTAAGACTGCCTTCTTGTCCTACAGGAGAAACAAATGACCTGCACGGACATCAACACTCTAACGAGGCAGAAGGAACTTCTCCTGCAGAAGCTGAGCACATTTGAGGAGACCAACCGTACCCTCCGAGACCTGCTGAGGGAACAGCACTGTAAAGAGGTGAGAGAGGAGAGCCTACTCGTGCCAGTGAACTCTTAGGCTCAGCTTCTTTTTTTTTTTTTTTTTTTTGAGACAGACTTTCACTTTGTCGCCCCCAGTAGAGTACAGTGGCATCATAGCTCACAGCAACTTCAAACTCTTGGGCTCAAGCAGATTTTTGCCTCAACCTCCTGGGACTACAGGCACCCACCATAATGCCCAGCTCTTTTTTTTTTTGCAGTTTTTGGCCAGAGCTGGGTTTGAACCCACCACCTCCAGCATATGGGGCCAGCACCCCACCCCTTTGAGCCACAGGTGCTGCCCGCCCAGCTATTTTTGAGACGAGGTCTCACTTTGGCTCAGTCTGGTCTCAAAACCATGAGCTGATGCAATCCACCTGCCTGGGCCTTCCAAGTTAAATTTGATAATTTTTAATCACTTATGTATGTATGTATTCATAAGTAACATATAGTAATGCTGGCCAGGTGCAGTGGCTCATACCTGTAATCCTACCACTCTGGGAGGCCGAAGTGGGTGGATTGCTTGAGCTCAGGAGTTCGAGACCAGCCTGAGCCAAAGCAAGACCCCTGTCTACTAAAAAATGGAAAAACTGGGCAGCATCTGTGGCTCAGTGAGTAGGGCACTGGCCCCATATACTGAGGGTGGCAGGTTCAAAACCGGCCCCAGCCAAATTGCAATCAAAAAATAGCTGGGCGTTGGGGCAGGCACCTGTAGTCCCAGCTACTCTGGGGCTCAGGCAAGAGAATCGCTTAAGCCCAAGAGTTTGAGGTTGCTGTGAGCTGTGATGCTACAGTACTCTAACAAGCGTGATAATGAGACACCAAAAAAAAAAAAAAAAAAAAAAAAAGAGTTTCCAGAATATATTTCTATCAATTTTAGTAGTTGTGGCCAAATTATTCTCTAAAATAGTTATACCTGTTTGGTTTCTGACTGGATGATCTCAGGGAGGTGATTTTTTACCTCTCAGGGCCTTAGTTTTTCCACCTATAAAATGGGAATGGCCTCTCCCACATGGGATTATGTGAGAATTAGAGATGATTTATAGGCTCGGCGCCTGTGGCTCAAGTGGCTAAGGCACCAGCCACATACACCAAAGGTGGTGGGTTCGAATCCAGCCCGGGCCCGCCAAACAACAATGATGCTGCAACCAAAAAATAGCCAGGCGTTGTGGCAGGCGCCTGTGGTCCCAGCTACTTGGGAGGCGGAGGCAGGAGACTCGCTTGAGCCCAGGAGTTGGAGGTTTCTGTGAGCTATGATGCCACGGCCCTCTACCCAGGGGGATAGTTTGAGGCACTGTCTCAAAAAAAAAAAAAAAAGAGATGATGTATAGACAAGGGGTTGCATACTGCCTGCACTTAACAGGTGCTGCTGCTCTTTGTCCTGGGACTGGTGCCAGCTGGGCACTCAGGGCCGAACCTTCACCTGGGTGCTCACTGGGAAGTGCTCAGTGTGGTGAACTGCTCTGGCTCTGGAGTTGGAGTCCACTTCATGAACCAGGTCACTGTGTGACCTTAGCCAGCATGCCCTCCCTTCCCCCAGCCTCCATCTCCTTACCTGTAAAATAGGGTGGTGGCAGTGCGGGGCTCCACCAGGAGGAGTCTTGGGTGAGTCTGTACACAGGTCGGCATAGTGTTAGCCTCGGTTTTAGTGTCCGCCAGAGGCCCAGGAGGACAGTGAGCAGCTTTCAGATTCAGGACCCTGGGCAAGCTTTGTGTCCTAAATTCCTCGCCTCTTGTTGCTGGAGAATCCACAGTGCTATCTTCTGTCAGTTTTTAGGTCCCCAGGAAAATTTGGGAACTAGAAAGCCCTTTTCTCTTTGCCTGTGACAGTGACCTGTGGGACTGAGGAGGAAAAGAGAAAACCCAAATGGCATAGACGGGAGGAGATGCAGGGCCTCACTAGTAATTAGAGAATGCAGTGAAAGCACAAGCTGGCGACATGGAGAGGCCCGCTATTGTCCGGTGCCGGCCACTGTGGGGAAGGCAGGAGTCCTCTATTCTGCTTTTGGCCCTGTGGACTGGTGCCAGCATTTTGCAGGACATTTCAGCCACAAATTACAGTGCTCTGACCCTGACTTTTCTTGGTATCCTTAGAGAGACACTTTGATACATGCCTAGCAGTGTCCACTGCTGCACTATTTGTAATTGCAAAACTTGGGAATATCCATGGTTGGGAGAGAGGATAAAAATGCAGTGGCATCTTAGAGACAGATTAGTGGTGGATTAGTGATCCACATTGAGAGGAGGAGAAGCGGAGACTGGATGCTTAACAGTACAGTTTCTTTTTGGGGTGATGAAAATGTTGTGGGACTACATAGTGATGATGGTTTTGTGTTGTGAGGGTACTAAATGGAACTGAATTTTACACTTAAAAATGGTTAAATTGGGCTCAGTGCCTGTGGCTCAAGCAGCTAAGGCACCAGCCACATACACCTAAGGTGGCGGGTTCGAATCCCCAGCCCGGCCCGCCAAACAACAATGACGGCTGCAAACAAAAAATGGCCGGGCATTGTGGCAGGCACCTGTAGTCCCAGCTACTTGGGAGGCTGAGTCAGGAGACTCGCTTGAGCCCAGGAGTTGGAGGTTGCTGTGAGCTGTGATGCCATAGCACTCTACCCAGGGGGATAGCTTGAGGCTCCGTCTCAAAAAAAAAAAAAAGGTTAAATTGGCAAGTCTTACGTATATCTTACTGCAGTTATTAAAAATTAATTATGTAATATAGCCAAAACTGTTGAATTATATACTTTATTTTTCTAGCTTTATTGAGATATAATCCTACACACATATACTTAAGGCATTTGGTGGGACAATTCTGTACACATACACACACACACACACGCATTTACACACATATTGTTAAGTGCTTACTATAAGCTAATTAACATATCTGTTACCTTACACAGTTGCCATGGCTTTTATAGTTAGAACACTTAAAGATGTCTTAGCCTGTAATCCTAGCACTCTGGGAAGCCAAGGTGGGAGGATCTCTTGAGCTCAGGAGTTTGAGACCACCCTGAGTAAGAGTGAGACCCCAGCTACTGAGGCGGGAGTATCGTACTCAACTACTGAGGTGGGAACATCACTTGAGCCTAGGAGTTTGAGGTTGCAGTGAGCTATGATAATGCTATGGCACTCTAGCCTGGGCGATAGAGCAAGACCCAATGTCTCACAAAAAATATCTTTGAGCACATTTCATGTATTTAATATATTTCACTATTCCATATATCCTTTTTTGAGATAATGTCTTGCTCTTCTGCCCAAACTGGAGGGCAATGGCACCATCATAGCTCAGTGTGGCCTTGAACTTCTGGGCTCAAGTAATCTTCCCATCTCACATCCTTAGTGGCTGGGATGAGAGGCATGCACGACTATTCCCAGCTAATTTTCATTCTTTCTTTCTTTTTTTTGAAAGAGAGTCTCACTTTGTTGCCCTGGGTAGAACCTGCCAGCTCAGGTGTACGTGGCTGGCACCTTAGCCAGTTGGGTCACAGATGCCAAGCCAGAAATAGAGATTTTAAAAAAGGAAAAGAATGAATAGACGCCTGGGTTTATTGCTTTTTTTAAAAAAAATCATAACTGTGTATATTAATGCAATGATGGGGTACAATGTGCTGGGTTTAGATACAATTTGAAATGTTTTCATCAAACTGGTTAACATAGCCTTCACAGCATTTTCTTAGTTATTGTGTTAAGACATTTATATTCTACACCTAGTGAATTTCACATGTACCCTTGTAAGATGCACTGTAGGTGTGGTCCCACCAACTACTCTCCCTTCACCCATCCTCCCCCCTCCCCTCCCCTCACTCTCCCCTTTCCCCTTCTTCTTGGGCTATAATTGGGTTATAGCTTTCATAAGAAGGCTATAAATTGGTTTCATAGTA